CCCCCCCCCCCACTGCAGACTCTCTGTCCTCCCACCCTGACAAGCTCACACCTTCTCCAAGAGTGAGCCGCCTGAACCCATGGTGTAGATTTTCTGGGAGGCCTCCTGAGGACAAGCTCAGGGGTATCAGAGACTGAGTTGTGTGTCTCTGGGGTGGGTCCCCCTCCCCCCCATGCTGGACAGGTGCTGCCCCCTCACAGGAGACCTACTAGCCCCATCCTCATGACCACCAGTGGCCCCCCACTGCCAAACGTGCCATGCAGGGAGTCAGCTGGCTGTGGCCAGCTTGGGCCCTCGAAGTAGACTATCTTGAAGGCCCTCAAAGAGGGAGAGACCACCAAACCAGTATTATATGGAATATTAAAGGGTCTTCTTTAAGAACAAGAAAGAAGAAAAAAAAGAGGAACATAGTTATAAAGAATAAAACGGCAATAAATATGAATCTAACACTAATTGCTTTAAATGTAAATGGATTAAATGCTAGTGGAATACACCTTCCCTCGCAGCCCTCCCAGCACCACCATTCCTGTGCACAGCCCTCTCTCCATGCAGCCAAATCTTGGTCTCTTTGGGCCTGATGAACTCTGATGGCCCCATCCTGAGGACTCCCTGGGGCCTGCCCCACCACAAAGGTTGGCAGGCATCTGGTGGGTGGAGGCTGGTATGGTATAACCCAGAGACTTTTGCTGAGTTGCCTCAGTCCCAGCACTGGTACTAAGTTCAAATCTATTTCAATCGATGAACACCATTCGCCCCTACCTAGTGACTCACCGAGAACATACCTCATGCAACTCATGTACCACCAGAAGCTCTTTCAGTGACTGAGCCTGAGCCTAACAGGCAGCCGGCAAAGGAAGGCAGATCTCAGGTGCCTTGGACCTTTTGTTGACCTGTCCCCAGGCTCGCCGCTGGTGGAAACCGGCCTTGGTGTGTAATTGCCCCTCCCATGTACAACCAGGCCCAGCAGAGGCAGCCACAAACTGGATTGCTCTGTAGCTCAAAACAAGTACTCGGGGCTAGTCACAGGCAGCACCTGACATTGACCTTCATTGGAGTCCCTCCTAAGAGGCCCCAGAACCAATATACCCAGTGCTGGGATTCAGACAACATCAGAACACAATGCAATTAGCTGCATAAACAGCACGTCCAAAAAGGGATCTCAGCAGGTACCGGACTCTGCTGGGGCAAATTCTACATCACCAGGTCAGCCCCCGCACATCAGCTTGTACACTGTAGTCTGCGACAATCCTAATAGTTAGCCAGCCTAGAATCAACACCACTCATGGATGGGCCAACAGCAATCAAGACTCAACTACAAAAGGAGGGTTCACGTATCCCACAAAAGAAACATTCCTGGAGCACCCAGCTTAGGTGATCAGAGAGACTGCGGCAGAGTCCCACGGACGCCTATTACATAAGGCCCCAACCCAAGACTGAGAGGCACAGCAGATCTACCTAATACACAGAAACAATTACAGAAAGGCAGCCAAAATGGGAAGACAAAGAAACATGCCCCAAATAAAAAAACACACAGGATAAATCCCTAGAAAAATAACTAAATGAAATGGAGATAAGCAATCTACCAGCTATAGACTTAAATCAATGGCTATAAGGATGCTCAAGGAACTTAGGGGAAGAATGGATGAGCTAAGTAAGAACATAAAATGAGAGTAAACATAAAAAAAAAGACATAGAAACCATAAAAAAGAACCTGGCAGAAATGAAGAATATAATAGAAGGAACCAATAGCAGATTAGATGATGCAGAGTATTGAATCAGCAATTTGTTAAGACAAGGTAGCAAAAAACACCCAATCAAAACAATAAAAAGAAAAACAAAATTTTAATAAGGATAGTTTAAGAGACTTCTGGGACAACATGAAGTGTAACAACATCCACATCATAGGTACCACCACAAGAAGAAAAGAGAGCGCAGGGGATTGAAAACCTATTTGAAGAAATAATGACTAAAAACTGCCCTAACCTGGTAAAGGAAAAAGACACACAAGTTCAGGACGCACATAGAGTCCCAAACAAGATAAATCCCAAAAGGCCCACACCAAGAAACATCATAATTACAATGGCAAAAGAGATAATATTAAAAGCAGCAACAGAAAGGTAGTTAGTTAATTACCTACAAGGGAGCTCCCATAAGACTATGAGCAGATTTTTTAACAGAAACTCTTCAGATCATAAGGATGTGGCAAGAAATATTCAAAGTGATGAAAAGCAAGGACCTACAACTAAGATTACTCTACCCAGCAAAGCTATCATTTAGGATCAAAGGACAGATAAAGAGCTTCCTAGACAAGAAAAAGCTTAAGGAGTTCATCACCACCAAACCAGTATTATATGGAATATTAAAGGGTCTTCTTTAAGAACAAGAAAGAAGAAAAAAAAGAGGAACATAGTTATAAAGAATAAAACGGCAATAAATATGAATCTAACACTAATTGCTTTAAATGTAAATGGATTAAATGCTCCAATCAAATCCAGGGTAGCTGACTGGATAACAAAACAGACCAATATACACTGAGTAGCCAGATTATTATGACCACCTGATGTTTGTAGGCAAATTAGCTATAATTTCGCGCTGAAGTTGCTAGAGGGCCAGACCATTATAAATAG